CTGACCAAGAGTGCAACTCAAGCTCCGTTTTGCCACCCTGATGGCTAATCTGGAACCACAGAAACTGCAATGATAACTTCATGATGCGCTGCTCTGCATTGGTTCAGGTTTGCATACCTTGGTTTCACACGTGTTTTTGAATTTCATTTTGTTACCTGAAGTCTTAATTTCCTCAATTTGTAAGTTCTAAGTTCTAACTTGGAGGCGATTTGGTTGGAAATAATTCCTGCGTACATGGAAAAATCCAAACAAACAGGAGAAAATGCTTATTTAATTTTCAAATTTATGCTTGTTATGTATAGACACCCATTTTGGTAGATGTAGACCTGCTCTGTAGTAACTTGTTTCATGTGTGTTGACGTGGTCATCAGCGTGTTTACTGTATATTGGCGCATGTCAGTGGTTTGCAACCTTTTTTGGTTTATAAAAAATCATGCATTTTTACAATAGGGTGCAGGTGTTTGCATAGCAAATTTATGATCCCAGACACTGCATTTGCTTTGTGGAATTACAGCTCACCAAACCCATACAAGTTGCCTCCGGATCCCCAGTGCTCCCCAGACTGGTTGGAAACTACTGGCCTCAGATTTCTAGGGAGGTTGTATGGAAAAAAGAGCAGGAAGAGAAAGGAAGCGCTCCCAGGCAGTGCGGATGCAGCAGGGCTGGCAATTTGGGAGCACCCAAACTAGTAGCTCTGAAGATGGTATCTCCTGTCTCCAGTTAATTTGCAGAGCTGAATCAGGCGTGTGAAGAGCTGCTGAGGTGCAGCAGCCAGGAGGCAGGATATTTTCCAGCTTGGCTATTTTATTCATCAAGGTCCTGATATGCAACCAGCCTCTTTACCCAAGCGCTTTGTACCCGGGCAGGATGGATGTGTTCGCTCGGATTGCTCATAGCTGGCTGCAGCTTCCGTTCGCAACATATCGTTTGATGAATGTCAGTTCTGAACGAAAAGAAAAAATAATTTAAATTATTTCTTCAAGACAAAGTTTCAGATTTAACATTGAACAGATGCTCCGTCTAAAATTAGCATAATGATTCCTCATGCCTGCTACTTACCAGGACATGTGTCTTTAACGTAAGTGTTGGAATAATAATGAAACTTTGCAGTGATTTGGGTTTTTTTGGAGGTGGGGAGGGTATAATTGAAGATGCTCCCAAATGCTTTTGAAACATTTATTGAGCACAAAGGCCTTCTGAATTGAGGAGCTTTGTTATTCCCATTTAGCAGATGTGGAAAGTGAGGTGCAGGAGCTCATGAGATGCCTGAGTTCCCAAAGAAATATGACTTCTGGGAACAGTGGTCAGGAGAGCTGAGGTGCACCAGGGGCAATGGAGGTCCCTCAGTGGCCAAACTGGTGCTGCCTTTTGCATAGAATTAAGTTCCTGACTGCTGCTGTCATGTTTGAAAAATGGACGTGGTCTTCTGGTGTCAGACTGTTAAAAATAAACGGGTCTAAGGAAAAGAGCCCAATGGAATTTCCAAAAGCGTGGGGAGCGGGGTGGTTCTCACTATTACTGACTGCAGCGCCGAGAGCCTCCAACTTCTGAAGGTCTCGTTTCGCTTTCAGATGCCTAAAGGATTTACAGGTCAGATCTTTTAAAAGGTGGTTAAATATGTTAGAAGATGTTACATCTAATTCATAGAGTTGGTCTGCTCCAACTTTCCAAAAACAGGATTGGAGTGTTGTGGCCTCACACCCAGGTTCCCCTCTTCCCAACAAGAATGTGATTGTTCATACTTGAACATAGATATTAAAAAAAATAAAAAAGAAAACCTTTGCAAATCCCCTATTTCCCCGTGTGAGAAGACTTCAATGTTGAAAGTGGAATAACCTCTTGGTAATTCTCTAGGGAATCTACGGAAGAGTTGATAATAAAATCCCAGATTCCCACACCATGGTGAGGGGAGCCTTCTTTCCCCTTCACACATGCCTGGGACTCTAAGAGCAACTTGAAACTTGAAAGCCTTGGCCATGCTTTTAGCTTCTGTTAATGTCATTTAGCATCAGGAAAGAAAGGGAGGAGTGAGGAACGTGTGACCAACTGGGAGTGGGGAGACCACCAGAAAGTGCTCTGAGGACCACTGCATGAGAAAACATCAGAGGACAGTGCTAGAGTGGACAACGTAGAAAAGCTCATTGTGCTCAAAGAGAAAAAATACAATAAAGAGATGGAAATAGTTTCAAAGAAGCCCTGTGGGTAGTTTTTACATGTCCTGGGCCATGCTAAAGTGAATAAGCGTGGGTGAAGGGATAGGGAGGTATCGGAACATAAGGAGGAAGGTCTGACCGTTTAAAAGCAAAGTGAGTGGTAGTTTTTTAACCACGCTAGGCCTGAGGACAGGCCCTTTCCTGCCTAACATCTAACAAAGGATTTGCACAAGAACTGCCCATCGTGGCCTAGGCATAACCCCCTATGTCCTTGACACAGCAGTCAGGAGAGGAAACTCAGGAGAAACCTCTCCCTTCTTTTTACCCATTGAAGCAAAACCACTCTTTTCCACCTAAGAAAAGCCACTGCCGCTTGGTAAACACCTCTTGTATTAATTGTTTTTGAATGGCTGCATTTGTACTGTTCAAGGGAAAAAAATATCTTGAATTTCTTTATGTTGTAATTTAGAAGTCAAGCAGGAAGAGGACATTTGGGTGTGTTTGGTGTGACTGGGAGGCTTGAGGATGTTGGTTAAACCCAACAAAAAATCGGTAGCATGTCTTCTGAGGAAGCTTTCAAATGTGTGGCCATGTGAGCTCTATTTCAGTTATTAACTGACTGTCCAAATGTTCAAATTGATCAAGAAAATGGATTTCTTGCCATTTCAGTCGCCTTGAATCCGCGGGTTCTGTTGCTGCCCTCCAGTGACAAACCCAAGATCTTTATGCTGTTGGCCAAGCCTACCAGCACCCATTGCAGCGCGGTGATCATGCAGAGCTTGGCATCTTTCACCCCAGATCTACATTCTTGGGTGAGACACAAACCAAATGCACGTGTTTGTAAGCCCAGCAATTGGGAAAAAAAAACAACTTTTGATTTGTAACTGGAGGCAGTCTGGTGTGAAAGCAGAAGGGGGAAACGCACCAAGTTTTGGTGTTTAGCAAGTCCAATTTGGGAGGGCAGGGACAGTCCTGCACATTGGGGAGCCCTTCTGGGCCTGTTAGCATATCCATTGTCCACCTGCATCCATACTGTTCCTTAAGGACCTTAAGCAACTGCACCTGCATCTACCCAAGTGACTCAAGCTAAGAGAGTTGCTGGGGGGAGACCACATGAGTGCAATTAAGCAAATGACACAGAGGAGCCTTTCTATGTCATACTCTTCTTCTCATCTCTGTCCAGGATGAGAGAAGCTGAAATAAGGTGTGAAACTGGACTGCTGAGGAAGTCACACGCACATAGAAAGTGAGTGCACCATGCAGCAGTTTCTTATCTTTAGCATTGCAAACGTTTTGGGGGGAACGTGCTTTGCACAAAGCTGCTCTGCAGTTGACTGGAGACAGGCCAACCTGGTGTTTTTGGTAACAGGTTTCCAATCATTAATTTGCCTGAAAAGCAGCATTTTGTTTACAAACTGAAACAACCACCTTGTTGATGTTCAGCCCGAAAAGGCATGGCCTGTCTGTGCCTTGCTTGGCTGCCAGCATAATTCTTTCCATCACAGAGACCTCACAGCATCGTTATTTCATTGCTAGATGACCTTTTTGGCTCATCCCTGACTTTATAGTCTGGAGTCAGATAGGACCATAGGCTTTTGAGTAGTGATTTTTTTTGTTACAAGTTTGGACGACTCTGATGGAGGTAGCTGGAATAGCTGTACTGGCTATATTGGTTCCACTTTACACCAGGAAAGGTGAGTTTTAGCATATTTAGTGGCAATATACACTTATCAAGCATATACTGATAAGCTGACCAAAATAAGCAAACTTGGTTGTCAATAGCTCCTTTTTTTTTTTTTTGGGTGTGTTGAACCCAGACATACATTGTAAATGCAAACATGGCTTGGGATGCAGGCTTTCTCTTTTGCTTTCTTCTCAAAATCCCAGACCTACCTCTTTACAGCTGCCTGCACACAAAACTCAAAACCTGGCGTTATCTGGTTGTGTGGGTCCGTCCTCTGAGCTCATCCTGGGGCTGGGCTGCCTCTACCTCCCGAGCAGAAACCCGTAATTAATTAAGCATAAATAAATAAATAAATGATATTTAAAAAAAAAAGAGGAAGAAGAAGAAGGAGACGAAGCGGGGAGGGAATGGGCCTGGGAGGAGAGCGCTGCGCGGGGAGCGGGTGCGCGGTGCAGGGCGGAGCGGAGCGGCCC